AGATAGATAGATAGATAGATAGATAGATAGATAGATAGATAGATAGATAGATAGATAGATAGATAGATAGATAGATAGATAGATAGATAGATAGACAGATAAATAGATAGATCTTGCAACATTAACGAATTCACCAGACGGTGAGTCAAAGCTGAGTTTGTTTCCTGGCAGTAAAAGTTGAATGCAACACAGATGTGATGGTTTTGCTGACAACATAAAACATGCAATTTGGATGCAAGTCAGTAAATATCGGAGGATTTGTTCTCTCTGAGTGTTTTGTCACATTTGCTGTTGAATCTTTACACAAACATCTGTTTGAGCGTCACACTCCTGCTGCTGTAATAAATCTCTGCTTGTGTTCAGACACCATGGAGGACAGGATAAGACAACACACATGCGTCAATAACACATGAGCATTTGTTGCCTGTCCATTTTGTTATTTTGACAGCTAATGTTGTCTCAGCTGTTTTATATACAATGTCAGGAAATTAGTTCCTCTGAAGAAATCTCACAACCAGGGAGGGATGGAGGTCGTGATTTGGAAACATAACAGTCTGGAGATGATGTTGGCAGAGTTGCAGAAGGAAAATAAAGAACGTTCCTCAGAGGGTCAGTGCAGGAGGAGGAGGAGGTGGAGGAATCAAGGACCATGAAAAATAAAAGATTATTTCCAAATCCAAAGGAAAACTGAAGTTCGTCTGAAACACCACTTGCTAAAGAGTGAGTTTAAAAACAAACATCTGAAGAAACTGCGGTTCTTTACATTTTTGGTCACTGGTAGAGACTGGTAGCAGGGACATTTATACATGTTTAACTTTTATTTTGTTTATTTTCAGGATGCAAAAACACCAACAATCAGATTAACAGGAGACAACAAACTAAAACTAATAAAATAAAAAAGTAGAGAATAATCACGCATATTTTTTTTATATATTACAACACATAACCCTCATTTTGTAAACTGCATTCATGCACACGTCTGTTTTGAATCACACATTTCCACGGGAGTTGAGCTGGAATTGTGGGAGGGAGGACTAGGGTGAGGAAGGGGAGGTGGGATTGAGGAGGAGGGATGTGGATGGAGGTCTGGTTCTGTCATTTGCACAGAAACTGTGCCGAGGGAATCTTTTTTTTCCTGCCCTACCACTCCTGCAGCTGCAGCAAACAAAGAGCAAGATGGGAAAGTCATCGTGCTTGTTGGCTGCTGTGATTTCTCTGGGAGTTTTTTTCTTGCACAGAGCCGGAGCCAGAGAGCCAATCAACCATGTAACGTCAGAGAGTTCTTCATTATTAAACCGCACAGATGCAAGTGTGAGCTGGACTGAGTCTGTGACTGTAGTGGATCAGAGCAGAGAGTCACAGACTCCAACCAGAGCAAAGACAAAGTTACACAGCACCACTGTTAAACAGCTGGACTCCAAAGACACCAGGCAGGACAGTGAAGAGGTCAACAGCAAAGAAGAGGAAGAAGAAGAAAGACATGACAGCAAGAAAGAAGATAAGAAAACTAAACTGGGTAAGAAAAAAAAAATCATATTTATCATGTAGACTTCAAGTTAATTAAGTCCAGTTATTAATCCTAATTAAATTATAAATGATGCATTCAGGGACCCATTGAGCCTCTGATTGACATCTGCTGAACTTGCAGCAGAAATAAACTTTTATGTAAATATTACTTTTTATAATTTTTTACAGCTGACTTAGTTTAATTTAAGAAGGAATAAAGGACGTCTGCAGATAAACCTGAACTAGAACTTGTTTACATCCTCTCCCGTATAACTATTTTCTATCTTGTACTTTTAGAATAAACATAAAATTAAACAATTAATACAAAAATCACAATCAAACTTCACTTCAGGATGGATCAATGGATTCAATGTTTCCACTCTCTGATTCAAAAACTGAAAATGTTGGGATGCCAAGTCCAGTTTCAGCTCTACAGAGGATTTATTAAGAAAAATTAAATTTAAAACCATAAAATAAAACACTAGTTTATGTAATATTGACATGTTTGTAAAAGCTCACTCACAGGATTCTCAAAAACATGATTTATGTTCAATTTAATGAGGGAAGAGGCAAAACAACTGCGGTGAAATCAGAGCCAGATGTTTGCTTTCATGTGGGTAACACACGTTAGGACAGCAACTCAGGGTTATCATTGTTAGAAAATAAGTAAAAAGTAGTGATAAAGTTGTCTAAACAATGATTGTCTAGTCTTATGTATTGTCCACAAGTCAAAAACATCCACTATATTATCACAGAAAACAAGAACACCTTAGAATATTCACATTTCAGAAGGTGGGACTAGAAAATAGTTAGAGACCTCAAGAGAGTGTTTAGAATTGATGTGAATGTTATTGCACGTTGTTAAAGTCATAAAATACTCTGCAGCTGTAGCTCCCGTCTTCCAGCTCTACTAAAGGATTGACTTTATGCTCTGGGCCCCAAAACTTAGTCTCAGATTACATTCAACCCCTCCACAGACGCACTTCTTCCTCCCAGACACACAGAGGAGGAGGAGGAGGAGGAGGAGGAGGAGGAGGAGAGGGCCTCCAAACTCCCACCGAACTGACCCTGGATGATCAGAGTTATTTCACATAACAACTGCTGGAACCTCATGTTACATCAGCCATGTTTTTGCTCACTCAGGAAAACCAGTGAGAGAGCGTTCAGTTTTAACCCTTCAGCTCTCAGTCCCAGATCAGCATTTATAAATTAACCCTACCAGGAGCACAGACACAAACCCAGAGAGGGTCTTATCTCATGATTGCTTTTCCTTTTCCTCCCAGACTGTCCTCCTCTCGGGCTCGAGTCCCTGCGGGTTGATGATAGTCAGATCCAGGCCTCCTCCTACCAGCGGACGGGCCTGGGTCCTCACAGGGGGAGGCTGAATATCCAGGTCAGTCCAAATCATTCAATACACCAAGTACAGATGAGTTCAGTTGGGTTTATTTGTTTGACATAAAAAGATTTAAAGCACTGGATCCCAAACATCTGCAATACAATTCTTTCCTATGTGGTCCTTGATGTAAAAAGATAAAAATAAACCCTACTTGAGTTAATTGCCGCCAATTACAAGACATGAGAAATCAAGAAACAAGCTCCTGATGACACACTGTTGGTAGAAGATTCAAAATAGAACTGCACATGTGTAACTTTATGACTTTTTGCTGTCAAAGATTCTACTACTAAGATAATAAAAAATAAGTATTTACAGGTTTAAACCATGTAAGACAAATAAAGAAGTTTTTTAATGTCGGCACAGTGTTGCTCGAGGGTTTGGTTCCTCTCACTAAATGCAAAATTCCAGAAAAATATCTTAAAAAAGAAAGAAAAACAACCATCCATCAATTAGTTACACAACCCGTCTATGACAAGGGCATGTAACCGCAAATAATGAAAAACCTTCCTGCACACAAAAAACCCTAATAATCATTCTGTCACAGTGAATGAAAAATATGGACCATTACAAAACCTTATAAACTGGGCCGAACACTATTCTTTGTTCATGCTGCAAATTAAATTGAGTCAAAGAAACCAAACCCTTGAATGGAAGCTTAAATGAGTCACTGTGCAGGTCTTTAAACTGTGGAACTCAGAGAAAACACAGACACAAGGAGAACATGCAAACTGCCGCCTCACAATATATAAACTAAAATATCTTCTAACTTCGTAGCATCACACAGCGTCTTATATGAGTAAAGTCACTCGGACAATCTTGTTCAATCGGTATTGTTCTGTCCAAAATCGGCAGCCTGACAGGAATTATCAGGCCAACTCCAAATTCTTACACAATGCTGCATACTTGAGACAGAGCCGGGAGATTTTATGGGTCAATTTAATGGCTTCATGATATTTTTGTTTTGCTGAAGTCTGGTATTGAGGACGGGGACCTGTACGACGGAGCCTGGTGTGCAGAGTACAAAGACCGACACCAGTGGCTGGAGGTGGACGCCATCCACCTCACCCTGTTCACCGGAGTCGTCCTGCAAGGCCGAAGCTCCATCTGGAGGTCAGGTAGTATCAGGAGCACAACCGATATGCAAATTGGGCTCTAGAGGTATTGAACCTTTAAAGATGGAGACGTGTAGTGTTATTGCAAACTAGCTTGGGTTGTTTCAATCCAATGTTTAACGTAACGAGGAGCAGAATGATCTTAGATTATCAACCCACTGCGCTGACGTCTATTAAACTGTGATTTCTTGTTCTTCCCGGGTCACCACAGCTGGGACTGGGTCCACACCTACAAAGTGCAGCTGAGCAATGACTCTGTGAGCTGGAGAACCTGCATGAACGGGACAGAAGAAGCGGTACGAACTAGACCTCTTGTGTTTTCTGACTGGAGGAATGTATCAGTGCTGATGACCCGTGAACCTCAAGTTGATGCAAAACAGATTTTCAAGAGTTTGTGCCAAAGAGAAATATTTGTTGTAGAGAAACAATTGAGGGAAGTGTGGAGAGAAACCGAAGTTTGTGGCTGACATACAGTTCCACTGCCAAAGAGTAAATGTATATGCTATGCTAATGTAATGTCACATTAAATTGTACAGATATTTAAAGGGAACCAGGATCCAGAAACTCCGGTGCTCGGACTCCTCCCTGTTCCCACTGTCGCCCGTTTCATCCGCATCAACCCGCAGACCTGGTACCCCAACGGCACCATCTGCCTCAGGGCGGAGATACTCGGCTGCCGTGTGAAGGGTGGGCAGAACGAGTGGGCCTGCAGAGATGTGTCAGAATAGGATGACTGTAATTCTGTCAGTCAACAAAGCTGCTGAAAGCTCTTGTGCTTTTTCCTCTTAGATCCAAATGATATCTACGACTCGGAGCGAGAACCAGGATCGAAGGACGCCCTGGACTTCAGACACCACAACTACAAAGAGATGAGAAAGGTCAGCGTGATGAGCTGCCGAACATTCACGATGAGTAACTGTGGTTCCAAGGATTTTACTCGCAGACTCAACAGTTTGCAGATTTTTCCTCTGCATTCAGATTTAACCCTTTCAAGCCTTTTAAAACCACTTCTAACTTCTTATAGCTCATGAAATCGGTGACCGAGGAGTGTCCGGACATCACGCGCATCTACACCATCGGGAAGAGCTACAATGGCCTCAAACTCTACGTCATGGAGATCTCAGACAACCCCGGCAAACATGAACTCGGTAAGAAAGATTCAACTCGTCTCCCGTGAACCTCAAATTTGAAGTAAAACCTTAGACTGAGAGATGATTGGAGCAGAATCCGTCGTGTCTCTGGAGTCACCCTGAGTTTTTAGCTGCTCCGGGGCCCAGTTCAACATCCTCCAGTGTTTATACAGCCTGGTCTTCCTGCAGCAGCGTCACACAGGGAGGCAGGGGAGTCACATCGAGGGGGCCTCTCCAGTGTAAACACACTGATAACAGTTTGAAATTGGAGCCTGCAGACTCACCACCAAACGACACAGAGCTCTTTGTGATGTTGTTTTCAGATGCAGGGAAATGAAGCCAATCCACATCTGTGAAGAGTCAAACTTGACTTTGTTTCTTCTAAGCGAAATTTCATTTGTCGCTTCAATCCCACAGGGGGATGATGGGAATTTAAGTTTCAGTGGTTTCATGGGTTGATTTGAATAAGAGGGGCAGGGATGTGTGTCTTTGATTTCCGAATTAGAACAAATGCTGATGCATGAAGTTCAGACCTTGTGTCTTCTGAGTCTTTATTTTCTGGGACGGCTGCCGTCATTTCAGGCCAAGACACTGTGATTACTGGCAAAGCGCACGAGGACCAGTCCCACACTGGTTCCTAACGGGGTTGAAAGTTTTTATCTGAGAGATTGAACGTGTTCCTGATTTATGTTCTGGTTTGAACTTTGACCTGTAGAATAAATTTTAGAGATTTACATGATCACATCACACCTTTTTTAAAATCATTTTCACATTGGCTCCTAGTTTGTTTGGTTAGGGCTCTTTATGACCCGGCCCCAGGTTCCATCTCTGATCTTTTATTCCCCAGTCTACCTCTGCACAGTTTGAGATCTTTAGGGAAAGGCTCTGTATGTTTTTTCAGGGAGCATACAAGGAACTGACTTCACTGATAAAAGATAGACGTGCCACATCATTGTCTAAAGTTGCCCACATCCATATGCTATCTGGTTATTATTATGAAAACCAAACTCAAGGTTTCATTGTTCAAGTTCAGTAGTTTTTGTCTGATTTAAGATGTAGGATCTGAACTAAAAGGCCAATTAGATGAATTTCTTTGTTGCTCCACAGATGAGGTGACTCTCTGATTTAATTTTTTTGGCAGGTGAGCCGGAGTTTCGCTACGTGGCAGGGATGCACGGGAACGAGGTTCTGGGTCGAGAGCTGGTCCTCAACCTCATGCAGCACTTGTGCAAAGAATACAAGAAGGGCAACCAACGCATTGTGCGACTGGTCACCGAGACACGAATCCACCTGCTGCCCTCTATGAACCCGGATGGATATGAATTCGCTTACGAGAAGGTGGGTAATGCTTAAAACCAAGACTGTGTACGTTTTACTGAGCAACAGCGCCCTCTGCAGCCACAGGTGGTCTTTGTCGTTTGGCTCTTACTGACTGTTTTGGATTGACCGATGTGCCGCAGGGCTCAGAGCTGGCCGGCTGGGCTGACGGGCGATACAGCGTTGAGGGAATCGACCTGAATCACAACTTTCCGGACCTGAACAACATCATGTGGGACTCTCAGGAGGGCGCAGCCGATCCGTCCAAAGTCCCCAACCACTACATCGCCATCCCCGAGTACTACACCAAGGAAGACGCAACCGTAAGGACCCTTAGCTTTGCTCATACGATTGATGGACGATGTGGAAGTTCAGGAGCATCTATAAAAATGACGTAGGCTTCGGTTCTGGAAAGTGAAGCCAAGTGTCCTTGAACTCTCGGTCAGGCTCCACCCCCACTCCTCCAAATATGGTTACTTCTGGTTTCAAAAAAACAAGATGGCGTAAGACAAAACACCAAGTAAAGGCTTCAAAACAGCAGCTGAAGAACCAACGGGTGAAGTCATGGAGGGTTTTAATTGTTTTGATTTGGCGCCACCTCGTGGTTATATTAAGAATGAACAAAAGGTTTGATATCCTGATGTCTACGTAGTAAATATACTGTGAAAACTTTAAAGAGAAGATTTACCGGATCAGCTGTAATAAATGTCCAAACTCTGCTTTTAACAGACGGGGACATGCGGTCGTTCCAAGGTTTTCACTTGTATAAATGTAGGTCACACTGAACAGTAGGTTTTTGTTAGTGTTTCCACTTCAGCTGCAGAATCGGCCCAAGATCAGGAAAAATATCCAGAGCCAAGAAAACAGGGATTTTTCCTGGAAGCCTGAGAATTATAGAAACAAGTAGTTTAAAGGACACATTTAGAAACTCTGCTTATAAAAACATACATTTTCTTTTTTACACTTCTCTAAGAGTCTGGCAGGTTTTTATTTGTCGTAGTTTTGTGTTTTATTTCACCACCTTCATCTGAACCATTTCTCTACTTGGAGCAAAAAAGCAATTTCCACTCGAAACCCCAACAGTCTAATTTAGATAGTTTCCTCAGAAAATATCTGTGGCCTCTTGAACTAATATCTCAAGTTTGCCTCGAGGGAATATCTTCACATTTTGATGAGTTGTCAAAAGAGTTTTGTATTTTCACTGAAGAAGAATCTGAACTTGTATCACAGAGTTTTTCATGTTTTAATAATTTTACTTGAGAAAAGGATCTTACCCTTTCTTCCACCACCGTCCAGGTTGCACCGGTGACCCGAGCCGTCATCAGCTGGATGCAGGACATCCCCTTCGTGCTCAGTGCCAACCTCCACGGTGGAGAGCTGGTGGTCACATACCCCTACGACTGCACCCGTGACTGGACTCCTCAGGAGGACACCCCCACGGCAGATAACGCCTTCTTCCGCTGGCTGGCCACCGTCTACGCCTCCACTAACCTGGTGATGGCCAACCCTGAACGACGCATGTGCCACTACGAAGACTTCCAGGCGCACAACAACATCATCAACGGCGGGGCCTGGCACACCGTCCCCGGCAGTGAGTCACACCACTGAGCTCCCGGACTGATCAGACTCATCTGAGGAGATTCGGTTCAGACTCCACTTCGCTGTTTAGAGAGGAAATCATCTGCTTTCAGTTAATGTCAGAAAAAACCTACACACTGTCATCCGGCCCACATACCGCATGGAATGATGGAACTTAGTAAGCCATAGTGATCCCACATGACAACCAAAGCTAGCTCGATGTTGGTTTTGTTCCATTTGTGCCATTTTCACCATTAACCACGAGTCACTTCACAGGCCCATTTGTTTTGGCCAATTCGGCCAATTAAGCCTTAAATCCCTTTGGTCCGGGCCACAATGAGGCCAGAGAGGCCCACATCCATATGCTATCTTGTAATATGTACATCTCCACTTGAATTCAATTTGCAACTGTAGAGGAAGATACAGTAAATTAGTGGTGAGACCACTTTGTGTAGCAGTAGAATAACTTTGTTCTTCTCAGGGTACAATTTGATTATTTTCCCATTTAAAGATTCCAGTTCCCAGTTTATTATTCACATTCATTTCTTTTTAGTTTAATGAGGTTTTCACTTTTACAAAGCAGAACAGGCATCAGGGGCGGATCTAAGGGCGACACCAGGGAGTCACTATTCAAAGCTGTAGAAAACTGTAAACAAGGAGAGACTTAAATGTGCAGTTGTGTGTTTTCTGCAGGTATGAATGATTTCAGTTACCTGCACACTAACTGCTTTGAGGTGACGGTGGAGTTGTCCTGTGATAAGTTCCCTCACGCCAGCGAGCTTCCCATCGAGTGGGAGAACAACAAGGAGTCTCTGCTGGTCTACATGGAGCAGGTCGGCACAGTGTGGATCCGTCTGTCCAAAAGGAAACAGATGCACACGTGAGTTTTAACCTCCGGCTCTTTGTCTTCCCTCAGGTTCACAGAGGGATTAAAGGTGTTGTGAGGGACAAGATCTCCAAACAGGGAATCGCAGATGCTGTAATCAAAGTGGAGGATCACGACCACGACATCCGATCAGGTCAGAGATTTAAAACTCTTCTGGGAACTTAAATCTGTCACAACCAGAGGCACATGTACAAAATTGGTTCATCAGTAAGTGAACAAAACACAGTTTGTCAATGATATCTTCTTTCTCTCCTGAAGCAACTGACGGAGACTACTGGCGTCTTCTGAACCCGGGTGATTACAAGGTGGTGGTCTGGGCAGAGGGTTACTTCCCGTCCATGCGTCGGTGCCACGTCGGAATGGAGCTCCGTCCCACCATCTGCGACTTCGCCCTCACCAAGACGCCCATTCAGAGGCTGAAGGACATCCGGGCCAAAGGAGGGAAGATCCCCCAGGACCTGCAGCTGCGTCTCCGAGCTCTGAGGCTCCGGAAGCTCCGCGCCAGCACCAAGGCCATCAACCGCCGCAGGGAGAGCCAGCGGCTGCAGCAGGAGCAGACGCTGCTGACGAGGAGAGCTCGGGCCTCCGGAGGCCGGAGAGAATGAGCGGAGACGACGGGCCGAAGAGGCCTCAGAGATGAAGTTGAATCTGGGAAGAGTAACATGTTTCCACTGATATTACAGGGTCAGTTAACCCAATTTACAAGAATGTGATGTGAAGACATGCAGAGGTTGAAAAAACAGCAGTCTTGCACATTTCTACTTCCACCAGCGAGGTGATAAAAGCTTCTTTGTTCCAGTTTTGTTTCTGGCTGTTGACCCTTTCACACAGATGAGCCCATGACGTCACACAAACACTGACAAAAGTTGACAGGATGTTTAAAAAAACAGGGTTTAAGAACAAACAAAGATACTAACAGCCAAAATAAAGTTCCACAGCCTGTAAAGGATCATTGTTTTCCATCCACAGACATCCTCGAGTGATCCTGTTCAAATGTACTTGTGTTGCAAATGATGTGTTCAGCTCCTCTGTAGTGTTTGTTTCTCATCTGTAAAGAGACTTTAGGATTTAAGTGTCAGCTGGTCTGATATGTGTCTTTTTTTATTTTTTATTTGACCAAAGTCCAACAGGACTATTAATTAACATTCAAATAAATCTTCTTTAATTGTGTCATTTATTCTCAGGATGAAATCTTGATTTCATGTGAAGTGGGATTGAAAGCGGAGGAACAAGAGGAAACAAGATCCAATTTGTTGCTACATCTGCACTCTACAAATCCTACATAGCAT